GGGCACAGCTGCATGTGTGCACGCACGCGTGCACGTGCACACACACATGCGCGCGCACGCTGCCCCTCCCCCCGACACCCCTCAGACTCCAGAAGGGCCAATGCAGCATGTGGAATCCCTTGCTCCTCTTGGCTTCTCTTGCCTTAGTGGAGAGGGAAGGGTGCAATGGTAACTGGGAAGGGTCATGTGAGAGGCCATATTAGGTTCTTCGGGGCTCACTTTGTACCCGGTAAACATCTTTACTCTGTGCCGTCATAGCATTGCAGATGGGGAGCACTGCAGATGGGGAGCACTGCAGGTGGGGAACATGCACAGAATTGCAGGTGGGGAGCACTACAGATGGGGAACGTGCACAGAATTGCAGATGGGGAGCACCCCATATGCATATGGGGAGCATTGCAGATGGGGAACGTGCACAGAATTGCAGATGGGGAGCACTACAGATGGGGAACGTGCACAGAATTGCAGATGGGGAGCACCCCGTATGCATATGGGGAGTACCGAAGATGGGGAACGTGCACAGAATTGCAGATGGGGAGCACTAGAGATGGGGAGCCTGCACCAGGGCTGCATGAGAGTATGTGTGGCATCAGGACTTGGTTTAAGCACCTCGGAAGAACCTGGTAAGATGGGTCTTTATTCCTGGCTCATGGACACCCTGAGCTTCAGGTGACAGCTAGAGCCCAGGAGATGGGGGCAGGGACAGTTTCAGGGCCTGGGAGAGCCTGCGTCTCTTCAGAGTGTCCCCTTCCCTGGGCCTGGAAGACTGGCCAGAGTTTAACTGACATCAGCTAAATGCCCACGTGAGACCTGAGATGGTAACCTTACCAGTGAATTGCTTATGGAGCCCCCCGCCTCAGTGTTCTTGGCCCCATATTTTGATGGTGCAGACAATGAAAGAAAGACAGGCTTGGAATGAGAAAACTAGGCTCCACGTTTCCAGCCCTGGGCCAAAGGATGTTGGTAAGTCTTTCTAACCCTTTGAGCCTCAGTTTCTTCATCTCTAAAATGGAAGTAATGTCTACAATGCACTGTGCTGGATGGTTGTGGGGCTGAATTTGGGAAAGGCTTTGTGGGAGGTGACGTGGTGCACTGAGATTACTGTCAGCATCACAGAGGTACCGAAGCGGAGTTCCTGAGGGATTCAGAGCACCTGGGGTGGAGGAAAGACAAGCAGGGAGGCAGAAAACAGTGCCTAAGGCCCTGGAAATGGGCACCAACCTTGGGTGGAAGAGTCAGGACGCCCAGTGCTGCACCAGCTGTCTACCCAGGGTTGGGAACTGTCCTCAGCCTTTTGACTTTGCTGTTGGCATTTTCCCTGCTAATTAGCATGTCATGGGGGTGGAGAGCAGGAAAAACACAAAACAATTGATTTGTCTCTTTGCCAGCACATCTGGGAAAAGGCTGGGTGTGGGAGGTCAAAAAGCAGGCTAAAAATCAGTGCTTCACATTCTCAAGGAAGCTCACGGCTCTGCAGGTTTCAGTTCTCCACTGCTATTGCCGGTGAAAGCGCTATGAAATCAAGGTTCAACTGCAGACCCTCGGGGTAGAGAGAAGAGGCATTGAAAGCCCTTTTGGCTTTGTCAGGGGAAGGGTGATTCAGGGACCTGGCTGGTGCTTAGGGACCAATTAATAAGTCATCCATGCATGCACGCATGCATGCATCCATCCATGTATCCACCCATCCAGTAAGTGTTCAGTGTGCACCTAGATTCCATCTAGCCCCCTCTGAGATGCTCTGGAAGAGATGAGGGAAGGGGAGGCTTTTGCTCTCTAAACATCCAGACTCATATTCAAAACAGAGCATAACTCAAAACTGGGTCCCCGCATCAATAAACGGCAATATCAATTATACCAGCTAGCTTTTCCTATATAACAACCACTCTAAAGCTTGGCTTTAAAACAGCAACCATTGGGCACCTGGGTGGCTCAGTCAGTTGAGTGGCTGACTCTCGATTTCGGTTCAGGTCATGATCCCAGGGTTGTGGGATTGAGCCCCACATTGGGCTCCATGCTGAGCATGGAACCTGCCTAAGATTTTCTCTCTCCCTTCCTCTGCCCCTCTCCCCCACTCATGTTCTCTCTCTCTCTCTCTCTCAAATAAAATAAAAAATAAAAAAATAAAACAACAACCATTTATACAGCTCACAAGTCAGTGAGTTGATAATTTGGGTTGAGCTCAGCCAGGACCTTTGGTCTTATCTGGGCTCAGTCATACATCCACAGGGAGCTGGGACCGACTGGGGTAGGAGGACCTCCACTAGGAGAGTTTTCCCCAGCTTTGCAGGTCTCTCACTCTCCAGTGGGACAGCCTGCGCCTGTTTATAAGGGAGAAGCAGGAGTCCAAGAAAAGTGTGAACAGGCAAGGTCTCTTAAAACCCAGGCTAAGAACTGGCATGATGTCACTTTCACTACATTCTAGTGGCCAAAGTCGGTCACACGGCCAACCCCAGATTCCAGGGGTGGAGAAATGGATTCTGCCTCTTGACGGGGCGGGTACAAATCGCCTTGCAAAAATCGTGTCTATCCAGAGCGGAGGAATTGGGGCCACTGTTTTGAACAGTCAACCACACAACCTTTGTTGCTCACAGAGGCTCTGGAGTCGGCCTTGCGCTCTATCTCACATTCCACATCCAATCTATTAGCAAATCTGGTTACCTCCACCCTTGACATATATTTTCCCTTCCTCCCTCTGCCCCATGCCCTCCAGTGTCCAAGAAACCGTCACCTCTTTCTTGGTACCTGCTTCTTTCCTATTGTCCGTATAGCCTATTCTCAACATGGCAGCCGGAGCAAGCCAACTCATATTACTTTCTGCTCAGACACCCCTTTGGCTCCTAATCTCACTTGGGGTGAAAGCCAACATCCTATAATAGCCAATGGGGGCCTGCACAATGTTTTCCCTGAACTCCCAATATCCATCTCACCTAAACTCCTACCACTGTCCCCTACCTCACTCTGCCCCACCCACACTGGCCTCCAGATGGTCCTCACCATGCCAGGCTTCTCTCACCACAGGGCCTTTGCCCTGTCTGTGTGGAAAGCTCTTCTCCTGGATATCTTCACCCCCCAATCCTTGGCCTCCTTCAGCTCTTTACAAAAACCTCACCCTCTCACTGAAGGCCCTCCTGGCCATCCTATCTAAAATTGACACATTCTCCCCACCCCTCCTCCTTCCCTGCTTCAGTTTTCTCTATAGCTCTTGGCAACATCATCAATGAATGATATATTTTCTTATATAGCCCCTTAGGGTCTAGACCAACATTGCCCAATAGAAATATAATGTAGGACACATATATCACTTAATTTTTTTCTAGCAGCCACATTAAAAAAGTAAAATGAAAGAGGTGAGATTTGTTTTAACAATATATATTATTTAATCCAATATATCCAACATCACTCATCTCAATGTATACTTCATTTGAAAGTTAGCTTTTGGTTTTTACTAAGTCTTGGAGGTCTGGTGCACATTTCACACTGGCAGCTTATACCAATTCAGACTAGCCACGTTTCACATGCTGACAGTCACATGTGGTGACCACACTGCTGTCATACAGAACGAGACCACAGTCCCATGAGGGCAAGGGTTGTTGACTGTTTTGCTTATGGGTGCATCCCTAGCATCTAGAACTGTGCCTCGGCCCGTAATAGGCACGCAGTAAATATTTGGTGAATGAGTAAGTCGGGTTTGGAATCAGATACAAGTCTGTGGCCAGGTAGTTTCAGACCCAGCGAAGAAGTACTGTCTGGCTGTTCTCATCCTCAGGGCGGCCAGGCAGAGAGCTGCAAAGGCCATGAAGGTAGTCTTTCTCCCTGAGCCCTGCAGCTCATTCTGTACCTCCCGGCTTTCCATTCTCTGTGGACGACAGAAAGCCCTGCATGGCCTTCCGCCTTAAGGACTTAAAGTGTCGCTCTCTTGGGGACATTTGCATCTTAAAAGCAGGAGTGTGCGAGAGCAATGCTTAACCCAAGGCAGTGCCTCTCTCCTGGGAATTTTTGGCTCCGGCGCCGCGCCGGTGCCGTTGCTGGGCTATGAATCTCTTCCTTGTCCCCGCGTTCACCCCGCCGCGCTCCCCTGCCTGACATCTCATCGTAGACCATGCTTGGGGCTTGGTGGGGAGAGAGGGGACCTGGGAGGAGTGGGTGTTCCCTGCGGCCGGCCCCGGCCCCTCCCCGAGAGGGGTGAGCGGTGTTTGTCCTCCGTGAGGCACCTTCCGTGGTGATGTCTCATGGTGTCCACCCTGCCAGGTGGCCAGAGGCACTATTCGCTCATTTTGCAGACAGAAGGCTGCAGCCCAGAGCTGGGACGTGAGATGGCTCAGCCGGTCTCCTGAGGGCTTGTGTGGGGCCCTCCTCCGGGCGGGTGGAGTCCGGGGGCCGCTGGGCTCTTAGGCCAGCTGGGGTGACCGGTCGGAGGGACACTGGCCTGAAATGAGTATGCAGGATACCACGTGGTGAGCTGGGTGCCCGGTGGCCCGGCTGGCCCCGGCGTGCCTGGGGAGGCAGGTGCTGTCACAGGCCAAGCCAGTGGCAGCCAAGGGACTGACAGAGTCACTGGAGGTGACTTGCGATGGGCCTTGGTCACCCAAGCAGCTGGGATCTGCGGGTTGTGAGACCCCCATAGCTCTGCTCTTCCCAAGTCCTCTCCCTCTTCCTTCTGCCCCTTCTGTCTTCTCATCTCCTTTCTGTTCTCCCAGCCTTCCCTCTCTCTTACCCCCCTTTGTGCTCCCCCAAGCATTTCAACCAAGGTCTCCCCTCCCTCCCTCCTGTCTCTGTCTCTGTCTCTGTCCCTGTCCCTCTCACACCTCACAGCCCAGGGAGCCGGCCTGAGGTCCTCATGAGCAGTAAATGGACGGGGATCTAATTTCAGTGCCCCTGGCTCCCTCTGAAAGCAAACGGATGCCCACCCACGCATGTGGTTTGCTTTCAGGGGCACGGGGAGGCCAAGGACTCCCCCAGCGGGCGGACCCGCAGGCTTCCCCCTGAAACCCCACCATTAGCTCTTCGCAGCGTGATCCCGCCCAAACGCAGCCGCTTCGGAGAAAGGCCTCCGTCTAAGCTCTTCTACACTCTTCTCAGGAGGAGCGCACAGGAGAACGAGTGGTCAGAGCAGACGGAGTCGTCCCCGTGGGAAACGGGAGGCAGAGGCACGGTGCTCCCCGCGGCCCTGGCCCGGGTGTTCATAGGGCCGGGCCTCTGTGCCAGAGGCACGTATGTGCTGCACACCTGGGTAGGAAACGTCCATGGAAGCAGCTGGCTGAACTTGGTCTGCCTGATGGGCACTAGGCGGTGCTGATGTGACCAGGTCCAGGAAGCGTCCTGGCACTTCTCGAAAGTTGTTGGGGTTTGGTTTCTGGTTTTTATTTATTTATTTAAAAAAAAATTTTTTTTAATGTTTATTTATTTTTGAGACAGAGAGAGACAGAGCATGAACGGGGGAGGGGCAGAGAGAGAGGGAGACACAGAATTGGAAGCAGGCTCCAGGCTCTGAGGCATCAGCCCAGAGCCCAACGCGGGGCTCGAACTCACGGACCGTGAGATCGTGACCTGAGCTGAAGTCGGATGCTTAACCGACTGAGCCACTCAGGCGCCCCTGTTTTTTAAAAATGTACTGGAGCATTAAGGCCATGAGGAGAGTATCTGAACTCATGACCTGGGATTCGCTGCGCGTGGTTTACGGAAGCTAACCAACGCCACCAACAGTGTGGACCCCTCCTCCCGCGGCCAGGAGCGGCAGGTGGAGGGCTCCTGTTCTGGGTCTGAAACGGCTTCTTCTTCTGAGGTATTTGCTTGTGATTCATGGTGACCGCCTCATATGCTGGGCCACCCCAGTCCTGGTACTTGCATCCGGGCCCTGGGATTCACGGAAAGAATCCTTAGTCTTTCTGTGGTGCTCACCGGGTTAGTCCTCCTGCCCTACACTTGAACTCCGTCAGCCCCTTTGCTGCCATGCAAGCCCGCGGGTGCTGACGCGCTGGGGGCAGCTGGTTTGCACACTACCAAGGCTTTTAGCAAGATGCCCCTTCCTACATATTCAACTGTTCGTTTTCATTCACTCACTCATTCATTCTTTCATTCAGCAAGTTCTTCCTGGGTATTAGGATCTGTGCCAGGCACCAGGAACGTAGGTAAATGAGATAGACCCAGGTTCCGCCCTCAGGTAGTGAGGTCTCCTGACCATAGACGCCTTCCACCAAAAGCCCTTTTTATGAGTGCACTGGGAATGTTTGTCTGGTTTTTTCACATTTATTCATGTTTGTGAGACAGAGAGAGAGCGCGAGCAGGGATGGGGGGAGAGAGAGAGAGAGAGAGAGAGAGAGAGGCAGGATCTGAAAGAGGCTCCAGGCTCTGAGCTGTCAGCCCAGAACCCGACCCGGGGCTCGAACCCACGAACCACGAAATCATGACCTGAGCTGAAGTCGGACACTTAACCGACTGAGCCACCCGGGTGCCCACTGGGAATATTTTTATAGCCATCTTTGGCACTGGATGGAGAAGAGGTATCTTCGGGGCTAGAGGACGCCTGGAAGATTACCTTATCCCCGTAGGCATTTTCTTCTGCAGTAGCAGCCTGCTGCTAGCTGGCCACTCCCTCCTAGGCTCCAGGCTCCTACTCCTGGCCCAGTGGGCAACTAGAGCTAAACGCTTGCCCTTTGCTGCTTGTTGGAAGCAAGCAGTTTAATTGCTTTCTGTCCAAGGGCAAGTAGGCTTCCTTAGGATGGAAATTTCCCTCCCATCAGTGGTTTCAGAGCCAGAATTCGGTTCCTTGGAAGAAGCTGAGCTTTTCATTAGAGATCAAAGATTGGCCCTGGGGAACCATTCAGAAAGCTGCTCTGGGCTCCAAAGGACCCCTCTGGGCATATCACTTCCTTTCCTGGCTCTGTTGGTAAGGGAACCAAACCACGGAGTGGGAGGAAAGGAGACCTCTGGCAGCCCAAGAGGCTGAGCCAGGGGACAGGCCTCTGGGGGTTGATCGGACTGGAGCAAAAGGGGTTAAGCCGATTTACCTGGAGGAGGTAAGGAGGCGGGAAGAGCAGCCAAGAAGCTGGGCTCTGGGCAGATGGCTCACGTTCCCCGTTCTTTATCTCTGATTTTATCCGGTCTGTCATCAAGTACTCAGCTCAGGAAGTATATCCCAGACTCCTGGTCTTGGGATTCAAGATTCCCCACAACTTAGTCCTCCCTTCTTTTTCCCGTGTCCCTCCCCCCCCACCCCCAAGTGTTCTGCATCTGAATGGATCGCAAAGGATGCATTTCTTGTCCCACGGATCTCAGAGGTGAGAAGTCAGTGTGGGCCATCAGGAGGCTCAGCAGCCGCAGGAGATGGGATTCTTCTGATATCAGCAGAGGGAAGAGGAAGTCCCTGGAGGGCCACGTGGAGTAGTACAGGGAGTCTGACTTGTGGCTCACGTGGGCTCCCTGTTCCCCGGGCTCCGGCCTCCAAGCTCGGGCCCCGAGTACCCAGGCTTGGTCTCTCCTCGCTGCTGTGCTCCATACACCCTTCCCTATCACCCAGGCCAGCCTTTCTGTGCCTTCCCACAACGGTTCGGCATCACTACGATCAAGCACTGGGAGGTGTTGCAGGGAGTGTGCATCATGTCCTGGTGGGCCTAGAAGGGGTCCTGGAGGTGCTCCAGGCCATCTCCAGAATCCACACACCTCTGCTGGGCAGGTAGTAGGCCTCTGCGTGGGCATCCCCCATGATGAGGAGCTTTGGGGGACATAGTGACATTCTAAAAGACATCCTCCTTATGTTGACCCAAATCTACCAGAAAGAGCTTAATCTCTTTGCCTGCAGCTATTATCTGCCCCAGAGTCTCCGCTTCCTGGTTCACACTCAGATTCTTCAGCTAGTCCTTGTACCACACAACCCAAGTCCCCTGACCATCCTGCTCTCGTCCTGGTTTACCTACGTGCATGTTCTTATAAGGCTTCCGGTGTTGGTGCTCAGACCCAGGGGTTTCCACCATCCTTTTTATTAGCTAAACCCCGTGAAGTATAGGGCTGAAAGCCTTCTGCAGAGGATTTGTCAGGGCTCCGCAGATTTGCCCTGTTACAGAAGCATCCGATGGGCTGGCAACATTGAATAAGCCCTTGGCATTTTCTTAGGCCGGGGCGGGAGGCAGGGGGGTCCTGGGGCCCCTGGCCAAAGTGGATTGGACTGTGCCTAAGCAACCTCAATCAGCATGGCTTTTCCTCAGCGGGACACCACTCTCCAGGGACAGTGGTAGCTGGTCCCTTGTCATTTCATGGTTACCTCCGTAGGCAGGAACAGGCTTTCTCCTGGGGCATCTGGGGAGACAGATGAGGGTGAGACAGCGGAGGTGGTTCCAGCAGGGTCGTGTGCGTCATTCTCATCCAGCGGCCCACCGGGACAGGTGGGTTCCTCTCTGGGGGTACCGTGTGTGGTCATGGAGGGACACGTGGGGGCCTGAGGGCTGGCAGGGGGACTGAAATAGCAGAGCTGAGGGAGAGCACACTCTCAAGGCCCAGAGCCTTAGCCCCCAGCTCGGCCGTCACTACCCGAGAGCCCTTGGACAGGCCACCCCGCATTTTCCCCTTTGGGGTTTTCATCTGTCCTCTCACTGAGGATCATTTAGCTTGAATATTCAATGAAGAACCCTATTTCCTTACTAGCTAATAATGTAATCTTTAACTTTCTGAGGTAATGAAGGTCTTTCTTTTCCTTTTTTCTTCCCTCTGTCTTCCCTCTCCTCCTCCTAGATTTTTCTTACCCTCTCTCCTCCATTCTCTCATTTCCCTCTCCGTCCCTCTTGGAAGATTCCAATCCCCTCCCCCCTTTATTTTTTAATGTTTATTTATTTTATTTTGAGAGAGAGAGAGAGAGAGCAGGCGCACAAACAGGGGAGGGACTGAGGGAGAGAGAGAGAGAGAGAGAGACAGAGAGAGAGAGAATCTTAAGAAGGCTCCATGCTGATCCCATGACCTGAGCCAAAATCAAGATTCGGCCACTCAACCAATTGAGCCACCCAGGCGCCCTGCTAAGCCCCTCTTGAGAACAAAACACATCTACTGCATCGCATTTGCTTCGAAACCACTCACTTCACAGCTTATTTTTGGAGATAAAATCTGCCCACAAATGAAATGCCAGTGTATGAGGCGAAGGCCGCAAGTGCAGCGGAGAGGGCACCTCATGTGCCTGGGAAGGCGCTGGAGTGCTCCGAGGGGGGCTGGCATCCGCCCTAGAGTTCGGGCTTCACAGGACACATGACAGTCTGGTTAGACAGGGCAGTAGTGCGGGAGCAGAGAATGGCGGCCAAGGGCTGGAGGCAGGCGAGGCCCCTGGGGGCCTGGGAGAGGTGAGAGGGAAGGTCACACAGGGCAGTGAGGGGTGGGGGCAGGAGGGGAATTTGGGCAGGGAATAGAATGCGCAGGGGTAGGCTTTAGGATAATGTGGTAGCCATTCCGAAGGTGGGTTTCAAAGGTCAGTGCTGGTCTGCTCTGCTCCTCACTGCTTTTAGCCCACTTGAGATGCTGGACATCACACAGATCGCAACAGGGGCCAGGGCAGCAGAGCCGGGTCTGGGCTTCCAGCTGTGGGCCCCTGGGGGAGCACAGATGTCAGTTCACAAACATCTTCCAGGGCTTTCTCCTTGGCTTCCCAGTGAGCGAAATGAGAGGCCTGGCAGAAAAATGTTCATGGCCCCAGGCAGCCCAGACCTTTTAGCAGGTGTGTAGGATCAGGTGTCATCACCGTGGGTCACAAGTCTAGGAAACTAAGGCCTGGAGAAGCCCAACGTCCTGGCCAGGTCCGACTGCTAAGGGGAGGTGCCCTGGCCTCTAGGACAGAGGCTTCCACTGGATCACTCTGCCTGGCTTTGAAAGCCTCTTTGGTAGCAGAGGCCTTCCTCACTGGCCTCTTGTGGGCGGCAATCTGCTTTTCTTTTCTTCTCTTTTCTTTACTTGATTTTTTTTTAACGTTTATTCATTTTTTGAGAGACAGAAACAGAGTGTGAGTGAGGGAGGGGCAGTGAGAGAGGGAGGGTCAGCGAGAGAGGGAGACACAGAATCCGCAGCAGGCTCCAGGCTCTGAGCTGTCAGCACAGAGCCCGATGCGGGGCTCGAACCCATGGACCACGAGACCACCACCTGAGCTGAAATCGGCTGCTTGATCGAGGACAAAGCCACCCAGACACCCCAGCAATCTGCTTTTCAAAGGACTGGTTTTCTCTGCTGCTTGAGAGCCAGCTTCTCAGAAAGGAGTAAATGCTGCCTCCAGCCCTAGCTTCTAGGGAAAGGCTCAGCAGGGACATGGTTTCCAGCTGCTCCTGTCCCCTTTCTCCCCAGCCATCCTCGGCCCCAGGGCAGGGAGTCTCCGTGGTGCCCCTTCCCTCCTGACTCTGCCGTGGGCCTGCCTAGCGCCCCTCCCCCTGCCGGTTCTGCCCCCAGCTTTGAGGGAGGGTGACGCTGGGTCAGTGAGCTGAGGGACAGCAGGAACCTGACACCCTGGGAACAGGCCTGGGGAGGATGGGACACGCCAGGCTGGCTTCCCTGGGGACCTGGAGGGTTTGGTTCCCACCCTCCTCTCCCAGGGTCCCGGATCCCCTGGGGGAGCAGGCGAGACACGGCCAGCTGGTAGACTCTGTGCACCCACGAGCACAAGGGGACTATCACCAGGCTGAGGGCAGCAGCCCAGACTGAGGAGATGTCAGTTGTCCTACTGCACGTCTGTTCTTCCCCCTTGCCTCTTTGTCTGAAGGCTTGAAGGCGGTGCCCCTGGGCCCTGGAGTCTTGGGGATTAAAGCCCCTTTGCCTCCGGGTGACCATGTTGATCAGGTTCGAATACAGCTAGAATCTTCCAACATCTCAGGGGGCTGCCTGCGCTGAAGAAGCCTCTGTCAGGCCTCAGGGCTCTGCTGTCTCAGTCACCATCCCTGGCATTCTGACATGTGGGCCTGGTTCCTCTGTGCTCCCACCTAGGCCCAGCCCTGAGGCTCCCCCAACCCCCTTGATTCTGTCCCCAGGCCAGAAACCGCAGACAGGCCCAGTGTGTCCTCTGGGTGTCCTGGCCCCATTTCTGTACCACCTTCCTCCTTGGTAGGTCCCCTCGCTGCCACCTCTGCTTTATTTATCAAGCCTCCTAGTTCCCTGGGCTCTGGGCCCTCCTTCCCATTGAGGATTTGCTTTCAGGAAAGACCTCGGTTCAAGTGTCTGCTCTGTTATTTACCAGATGAGTGTCCATGAGCCTTTCAGAGACTCGGGACCTCTGTCACCGTTGTCTCCACTCACCTCACCCACCATCCTTAGCCCCACAGTCCTCTGCTTCTCCTTACCTTTCCCTCCGCTGTGGGGTTGTATGGTTTCTTCTGTCCCCTGGTCCACCCACTCTCCAGCTGCCAGCCTGTTCAGGCTCCCTGCCCACAAGGCACAAATCAGTCACTAATCCCCGGGCTTGTGTGGAGTACCTGTTGTGTCCCGTGGGTCAGGTGGGCATCAGGAGACCCCCACACCATGTGCCTCCCCTGCCCCAGCTGTGCGGGGCCAGCCCGGGGCCTCCCTCCCCAGCCCTGCCCTACCTTGTGCATGTGCCAGGCCCCCCCTTGAAGGTATGGCTCCCTGCCAGCTCTCGGAGGGGGTGGGGTGGAGGGTTGCTATGAACACTGATTTTCTGAATTCAGAGATGCACATGTTTCTCTTCCATTTCCCAAACTAATTTGTGTCTTATACTTGATGTGTTTCTTTAGTGGGGTGCTTTGTTTCGGGGAGCTCCTTCGTTCTCCTCACTCCCTAAAAATGTTATTTCGCTCATGGCCATCTTGCAATTGATGGCATATCAGCCCCGAGGAAGTATGATAAATGGATAGTGTAATCAGGGACATCTGGAGATTATGTTGTAACCCAAGGGAGTGGCTCTAATGGGAAAAATTGTGGGTTGTCTATTGATGGGGCCATTTGGGGATGTAAGTGCTGTTCAGACGTCATTGATCATTGGCTTGTCATGGGCCCAGATATTCTACCCTGAGAACTTCACTCCTCTGGTCTTAGAGGCCAGACAGAATCGCTATTACGTGCTACTCTCACAGACCCCACATGACATAGGGTTGAGGAGAGCCAGGGGTCCCTGAATGGCTGTCTCCTGGCTTCAATTCCCTCCTGAGCAGGGGTGTTGAGACTAAGATCTCCCCGGGCATGGAGGCGATGGGGAGAGGGACCCAAAGTCCCAGAGCGGGAGTCAAAGGGTTTTTGCAGGTAGAAACTGCCTCAAATATGGGACAAATAGACACTTTGGTTCACCTTTCTCTTGCCGCCCCTCCCGGAGGGAAGGCACCTGTCTTCACTTCCCAGTGCATCAGTGTGAGGGTCCAGGCCGCAGGGAGCAAAGCCTCTCTAGGCTAGGACAGTCGCTTGGTCCTCTTTCTAAGAAGAAGGAAACCTGAAGGCTCCCCTGGCAGGGTGGGCACCCTGGCGGCAGGCCGCTGGCCAGCCCTGCCTGACCTGTCCCCGCCCAGCTGCCGCGTTAAAACCCGGGAGCTCACCCAGGCCCTTCTTGCCGTTCTCTCTCCCTCTCAATTTGAAACCAGCTTGCCACCAACCAGTCTCAGTGCACCAGTTTCCTGAGCTACTGTTTCTGCCTCAGACCATCCAACAATCAGCCAGTAGGTCTCCACTGAATGCAGCTCCCAGAGACGTGCGTGGGGATCCAGAAACAGTAAGACACGAAGCTCAGCCAGCTGGGGGTGGCGAGTGTGAAGAAACAGCTCAAGGTAGCCCCTGCCAGGTGCCAAATGAGTGATAGAGACGGGGCGTTCTCCACGAACTCAGGGGAGGCTGGTGGGCAGGGGAGACGTTTTGGGAAGAGCTGAGAGGTGACCTTTAAAGATGGGGAAGGCGGCCGGTGAGGTGTGAGCCAAGGCCCCTCAGTGGGAATATGTGTGGCATGTCTGAATTTTGAGTTGACCAGTGCAGACGGCTGGGGGGGAGCTTAGTGGAGTTAGCAGGGATCAGGAGGATGGGGCTTACTTTCTGGCAAAGGGGTGTGCATCTCACCTGTAAGCAATGGGGAGCTCCCCATTTGAAGGCAGACCAGTTAGGAAACTTGGCTCAAATGCATTGCTCCGTGCATGGAGTTGGCTTTCTTCCTTCACAGCTCACTGTCCAATAGGGGAGGCACTAACCCCAAGGGGCAGCTTGGGAGGGGGCTAGTCGGAACTCAGATGCTTTATAAGTGCAAAATGCACACTTGGTTCTGAAAACTTAGTGCACAATAAAAAAACAACGTACTAGGGGCTCTTGGGTGGCTCAGTCGGTTGAGTGATCGACTTCAGCTGGCAATTCATGATCTTACCTGCAGTTGATGGGTTCGAGCCCCGCCTTGGGCTCTGTGCTGACAGCTCGGAGCCTGGAGCCTGCTTCTGATTCTGTGTCTCCCCCTCTCTCTGCCTCTCCCCCACTCATGCTCTGTCTCTCTGTCTCTCAGTCTCTCAATAATAAACATTAAAAAAAATTAAAAAAAAAAAAGCAATGTACTATCTCATTTTTTTTTTCCTGGAGTACCTGTTGAAATAATAACACTTTGGATATATTGGCTTATGTAGCATATATTATTGATTTATTTTAATTTTTAATGTTTATTTATCTATTTGGAGGGGGGGAGGGGCAGCAAAAGAGAGAGACACAGAATCCCAAGCAGGCTCCAGCTGTCAACACAAACCCGACAGCGGAGGAATCTATCTAATAACCGCAGATGCTACCTGAACCAAAATCAGAGTCAGGAAGCTGAACCGACCCGATCCACACAAGCCCCTAGATATTATTAAAATTAATTTCACCCATGTCTTTTTTACCTTCTTTTTAGTATTTCTGAAAAATTTTAAGTACACCGTGGCCGTCATAATTCTTTGGACAGGGCTGTGGATTGGGTCTGTATTTTTTATGCAATTCCCTTTTCCGGCGCTTGATGCATGCGCCTTTCACTTCTTTCCATGATCTCTTAACAGCCTCCTTCCTTCTTCTTGCCCTGTCCTCTGTCACCTTGGCCTTTTTCTTCTCTTTTGATGGTCAGGCGTGAGTGAGGAGAAGAGAATCCAGGACCTACACTCAGGCCACACGCCCCTGGACTCAACAAAGCCAGAATTCAACAGGCAGAGGGGATCCTACTTATCCAGAATGTTTGTAGAAATAACCTTCTGAATGGTCTTTCCTATGACTCATTTGGGGAGCAGTCAGAAACTCTTTTGAACATTTAGTTTGCAAAGAGTTATTTTAAAGATTAAAACGTCTATCAGGCATGCCATCATTTACAGAGTCAAAAAGGCACCAGTATGTAAGATACATGTAACCCAGTATCAAGCCTCTTCCCTCTCCTACAGCCCAAACCCAACTGTACCACCACTCGTCTTTAGCTGTTCACTTCCTGGAAACACAGAATTACTAAGTAAATTTCTAAAATAAATTCTTATATTATTGTTGTTGAGTTTTTCAATTTGACATTACATTTCTTTTTATTTAATTAATTAAATTTTAAAATGTTTGGGCCTCTTTGAAGGAAGTGGCCCGCGTGAGAAGGGGAGGGGCAGAGAGACAGGAGAGAGAATCCCAGCAGGCTCTGTCAACTACAAGTGATTAACAGACTCTGTCACATACCATGGATGACCTGAACGAGATCTAACCGACGAGCCATGGGGCACCCTTATAGTTTCTTATTAAAGAGAGAAATGTCTTTTCTGTTCCTAATATGAAGCTTATTAATGTTTGCTTTATTATACATAGTATCAATATAATATAATATAATATAATATAATATATAATATAAATATTTTTTGCTGCTGAACCAAGTAGTACATAATAATTACACTTTCTTGCATAACTTTTTCTTTCCTGGGAGGTACTAACTGCCTCTTTTTGTAGTTTAGCATTATTTTTTGTGGTTGCCTTGCTTTTTATGACATTTGCACAAATTCTTACCAAATTCTGTCAAACTGCAAAATTCTGTCAAATATTATAAAATTTTTTAAATTATTTATTTATTTTGAGAGAGAGAAAGAGTACATGTGTGAGTGGGGTAGGAGAAGAGAGAGAGAGGGAGAGAGAGAATTCCAAGCAGCCTCTGAGCTGTCAGCGCAGAGCCCGTCGTGGGGCTCGAACTCACAAACCAGGAGATCATGACCTGAGCCAGCGTCAAGAGCCTAATGTTTAACCGACTGAGTCACCCAGGCACCCCCTTCAAATACTGTTTTTATGTGGCTACATCTCTTGGTAGTCCTATCGTTTCCATCTCCACCCCCAAGACACCCTCTCAGAGCGCCTCCCTTCCTGCTGCTTTCCTGTGCAGTGCTGGAGCCACTGCATGGCTTGGGAAACCCCATCTCTTTCAGGCCGCACCCCCTAGTGTCTGCTCCTCTTTCTTGGTTTGTGTCAGTCCTTCTCTGAGAAATGTGCGGAGAAGGCTGATGTTTTTGAGACCCAGCATGTTCGAAAATGTCTATATTCTATTCTCATGCTTGATCAATCAACAGTTGGGCTGGGCATAGAGCTCTAGATTGAAATCTTTTTCCCCCTCAGTATCCTGAAGGCAATTGCTCTACTGTTTTTATGCTACCAATGTTGCTTTTGAAAAATCCCATGCTATTTTGCTTCCTGACCCTTTGTGTGGCCCGTTTGCTTTCTCTCTGGAAAGTGTTAGAATCATCTTGGCTCCTACAATTTGGATATTTTACAGTCAGATGCCTCAGTGTGGGTTCTTCTCCTATCCATTTTGCTGGGCACTCAGAGGTCCTTTTCTATCTAGAAACTCAAACCGTCAGTTTGGGAAACTATCTTTTGCAATGTTTTTCATATTCTCCTCCCCCTTGTTTTCTCTGTCTTTTCTCTCTCACCAGTCACGTATGTAACCTTCCGACCCATCCGTCTATGTTTACATCTGTTTTCTCCTATTTCCTGTCTCTCGGTTTTCTCGTTCTGCTTCCTGGGAAATTTCCCCAGCTTTGTCTTCTGACCCTTCTGTTTTTAATGTCCAAGAGCTCTGGTTTTCTCTTAGCTCCTTTTAAAAGAACTTCTTGTTTCATAGATCCAACATTTTATTTCTCGGAGGATGTCAATTATAGGGTTTTTCCTTTGCATGGCCTCTGTTCCTCTGGGTTCCTTTTGTTTTGTTCTTTTAAAAATTTGATACATTGTCTCTCTTTTCACTCAGTAATCTTCCTCAGAGACTGATTACCCTTGGGCTATCTGTTCATGGTGAAGACTAGGTCACTAAAAGCTATCCAGAAAGTGGGAGCGATTGTGTGTGCCTGTATGGACTTTTAAATGTACAGGTTTCATTACAGAGCGGCTAGTTGGGGACCCAGCCATTTAACTGGGCCCTCCCAACCAGAAGTATCTGCAGATGTCTTTCTGGGACCAGTTTCCAGTGCGCTGCTGGGTGACCGTGCTTTCAGAGCCAAGTGGCAGAAGGGGGCAGGGGCTTCCAAAGTTTCGTGCGTAGACTTTCACTTAAGCCCCCCCCCGTTTGAGCACGCTGCTGCATTCTGGCCCAGTTTCCCTACAAAATGCCAGGATGAGGGAGGGGGTAGTCAGTGCCTCCGTGGGTAAGGGGAGAAGCCCCAGGCAGAACTGGTCCTCATACAGACTTGTCATCAGTGTCCTTCTCCCCAGCCTTCCAAAGTAGCCACCACCTCCAATTCCTGACCCAGAGGGGTAGCAAAATCTGTCCACTTCCTGTTGCCCGCCCCCTCGGGCGGGCACTCATTTCCGGTTTCTCAGCTCTGCAAATTCCTCCATTTGCTCTCCATCTTCCAAAATCTGTTGACATCTGTTGTCGGCTGGTGTCATTTCTACTGTTCTCTCTGTCCTTAGCTGTTTATCTTCTCTTTACTACTTTGCTCTCATTTCAGTGGGGTTAAGGAAGGAGCAGACATGTGCTGAACCTGCCACGTTCAGCAGGAAGCCCCGGTGAACGTTTCTGAAGTGCCAAGTTCTCTCCCTTGTCTTCATAAAGGGCCTCCAAGCTGAGAGCTGGCTCTTTCCTCATGGAGAATCTGTAAGGCTTTCCTGTCATCAAGGTCAATGTTATTTAGAAAAGTCGTGGAGACTAGATTAAGCGTACCCTGAGCCCAGCTCGTTCTTGGAAATGGTTGCTTTTAAATACATTGTAACACTGTAACAAGTTATTTAACTTTTATGGAACAAAAAAATGACTTTTTGTGGCTTAATCTGTTTCCCGAAACTGCATGGAAAACAATGTCTGGTTGTTTCATCTCTGGAAATTAGGGCTCCCCCCGGGGTTGGGTCCTTAGGCTGGACTCCCTGTGTTCTAGGTGGCATCTATGAACACGGGCAGGAGGGTCAGTGAGGGTGCACGGCAGGCGTCGAATTCAAGAAGGCCAAACTGCCGCGAGGGGCCTGACACCTCCTCCAACAAGTGTGTTGATTTTTAAAAGGACGCTTGCGAATCGGGTCAGTAAACGAAACGCTCCTCTCTCCTCCAACACACACGGCACAGAGCCTTACAGACAGCCACGTGTGTCTAAGAGCAACGACACTGCTGCGTTCCGGCGAAATCCGGCATTTCACCAGCTGCCGGCGCGGCCCCTCGGTGGGGGAGGGGCGCAGGGCGGGTCCTCACCGCGTCTTCTCTGTCCTTCCTCTCCAGGTGCCCCCTTTCAAAGGTCTCAGCATCCTCACGCTACCTCCTGCCGCCACTTCCACCTGGGCCCCCCGCAGCCGCAGCAGCTGGCCCCCGACTTCCCCCTGGCGCACCCCGTGCAGTCGCAGCCGGGCCTCAGCGCCCACATGGCCCCGGCCCACCAGCACAGCGGCACCCTGCACCAGTCGCTGACTCCGCTGCCCACCCTGCAGTTCCAGGACGTCACAGGTCCCTCCTTCCTACCTCAGGCCCTGCACCAGCAATACCTCCTGCAGCAGCAGCTCCTGGAAGCCCAGCACCGCAGGCTCGTCTCGCACCCGAGGTGGGCGCTGCAGCCGGGAGC